AGTGATGTGATTTACAGAGGTTCTACAACCTGTGAGAGTTTTTGTTCCCCCTTGTGTTTCCCCTTTGGTTGGATTGCTGTTTTGTTGGTTGTGATAGCTGAAAACATCTGGGCCAGTTCCTTTACCTGAAATATGTAACAAGTCAGTTCAAGCTGGACACAATTAAGTAATGAAAACATAATAACCTTTGCTGATTGCTCTGAAGAGTGCAGTGAAGAAACATTTAGTTTTTCCTTATCCGCTGCGAGGGTCCAAAAGACAGAGGGATGTCGTATGCTGTAAAGCTCTGTGAGGCAAATTGTGATTTGCGATATTGGGCTTATAAATAAAACTGAAATTGAATTAAATTGAATTAAACCAAACTGTGCATGTAGCACTTTGGTAATTTGATAAATATAATAAAAAATAAAAAATGAATTTAAAAAATAAGAAATAATACAAATAATAAAAAAAAATAAATAAATACATTCAATAAAATAAATCTTATATAAATATGAGGTAAAATGTGATAAATATTATGAAAACAGAAAAAAAAATTAATATAATAAAACTAGAAAAGCACTCAGAGAGTGCAGACCTCCGCCAAGTAGGTGATATTCCCTCCTCTGCATCAGATTTGGTGAATACACAGTGCTATTTAGCGCTATTTTATTATTTTATCCACTTTGCTTCAACCAATCACCACCAAAATTTTATCTGTTCCTCGTCCCATTATCCACCTTTCCTGAAAATTTCATCAAAATCAGTTCATAACTTTTTGAGTTATTTTGCTACAAACAAACAGACAAACAAACAGACCAACGCCAGCGAAAACATAACAATAAAACTTATATAAATAAGAAATATACAAAAAAAAATGGACAGAAGTATAAAAATAGTGCATCAGGCTGAATGTATTAAGATGTTTTCATCTACATGCAGGACATTCCTGGAAGTCAAGATTCAGCTGTACCTTCATACCAGCAGCGGAATATATGTCAGGATCCTCCTCAGTTGTGGTTTCTGCAGAAGCAGAATTCATCTGGGTGGTGACACTTTCTGAATCGGGTACATTCTGCAAGAGAAAGTTGGGAGGTTTATAGTATTTGAATCTGCCCAAAAAGCTGCAAAAAATGTGTGTATTTTCTATTTCAGCTGCAAAGACATTGTATTGGGCAGCTGTGGCTCAGAAGGTAGAGCAGGTTGTCCACCAGTCAAAAGATGCAAGATACATGTCGAAGTATCCTTGAGCAAGATGCTGAACCCCAAATTGCTCTCAATGGCTGTTCCATCGGTGTTTGAGTGTGTTAACAACCGAGTAGCAGGTGGCACCTTATATGGCAGCCTTGCCACCAGCGTATGAAAGTGTGTGAATGGGCGAATGTGACTTGGTGGTAGTTTAGTTTAGTTTACAATGATATAACCAGAAAAGCAGCAAATCCTCACCTGTACCTGTGACAGCTTTGGATCTTCCTTGCCATTCTCCTTTGGTTGGACTGCTGTTACCCTGACTGTGGTGGCCTCTGAAAGTTCCTGGGCTAATAGCTTCACCTAAAAGATATTAAGCACTCAGGTATCAAACAATGAAATTATGATACTAATGTATGTTTAGTTTACCCCTTTTAAAGCAGAAAGCAATGAATTGTGAAGCTATTGTATGAACGGTTGCATTTTACAGCCTATAAACAAGGTCACAAAAAATGAATCAAAACACAGTATAACATAGATCATTTTCAGTATCCAGCAAAGCTTCTTCCGTCTGGCACCACATAGGTACGGTTTAAACCATGCTCAGTTGGTACTAAGGGGCCCAAA